CAAATTCTATGGTGACTATGTTTGATAGACCAGAGCCCCATCATAATTTTTATAATTACGTCTAACCAGCCAGGTTAATTTATCAGTATTTTTCCAATGTCCAAATCGGCCAGGTTATTTTATCATTTATCATTCTAATTTTTAATAATTATATTGTGAATATTTATTCTTCTTCAATTTCATTCAATATAATCAGAGTTGGGCAGTACCGCGAATACTTGTATCTAAGATACAAGATCCTTTAGTATCTTGTATTTAGTATCTTATTGACATTTTTAATAATACTACTGTATCTAAGATCCTTTATTTTGAAAAGAATCTTGTATCTAATTCATTTTCTTTAAAAAGACACAGATACAGATTCAATTTAATATTCATGTTTAAAACATTTACATATCACACAATGTAATATTATTTTCTTCGTGAAATCATGTATTATTTTCTTTATTTTTTCTTGCTATATTTAATATATTGATAACCTTAATTAGTTGGAAATCTTACAGATCACAAAGATAGATAGATTGTAAATAACAACACCAAAACTAAATAAGTAAAGGTTATATTTTATATGTAATATTTTTCAATTTGTAGAATGTTTAACATTTATAGTAGTGAAGATGAAATAATGGTAATAGGTTCTTCTGAATTAAATCCGAATCTTAAAATTAAAGATGTTATAAGGTAATTCATGTGGAAAAGGACAAGGTACAAGCCGAATGTCAAAATTGCACAAGTAAAAAAGTTATTAAAGGTTGAACAGACTCCTCTACAAACTTTGTTAAGCATATTAAAGTATATTATACATTTTAATTTTATAATTATTAACATAATAATATCTAAACATAAGTCCCTCTTAGATAATTGTTATTAAAATATTTTATAGAAGATGGTTGATTATCAAATTAAAACATTTCGCATATATATTATTTAGGGGTGTATACCACTTTTTAGAGGTCGATCCTATCCGATTCGATATCATATCTAATTTTGTATTCTGTAAAGATACTGTTGGAATTTAATAGTGTTTTCCATTAAGAATAATATCATGATTTATATATTTTATTTTTGTCATAATTTAAATTTTATTATATGATAAATTACATTTTTATTTTACAAAAAAGATAAATTACATTTTTTTATCTGTCTTTCAACAAAAACAATTTCTCATCCTTTTTTAAACAATATAAAAAAAATAACTAATACAAATTGATGTATAAAAAAAATGTTAATATAAAATTTTGACCGATTAAATATAAATACAAATTGATATAATAAAGAAATAAATCAATTGCCAAAATAAATAATAAAATAACATTGATCAACATATTCAACATTCCACCCTTCAAAGAAATTTAGCTTATGATTTCCTTGGATAAGTTGAGTGGTAACGTTATTAACATTCATGATCACCAGGCAAATAGGCACCCATGTTCATGGTGCAGTCTTCTTTTCAAACCGTACGATGGCTTGGTAGAGTAAAGACAATCCCTAGCTAATTTCCAAACAGGATTGATTACTTGTGCATGGCATAGGATATCTAGATTCCTTTAGAGTGAGGTTTATTTTGTCGTGCTTCAGGCAGAAATCCAATTTCTGAGTCGTTGCATCAATCTTGGCGCACGGAATTCTCCTTGAAGGTATGATCTTAGGCACAGCATCGGGCTTCAAGTGAACTTTCTCTTGTCTGACCCTTTTGGGTTTGTAGGAGTAGGTTGATTCGAGGTATACCAGTGAGTTTAATATCCGTCTTACGTATCGCGGTTATGTCTACAGTCTTAGCTGTCAGCTTCGGAAGTATACTGTCCCTGGTACCGGTGTCAACTTGCATCAACGTGGGTATGTTGTTGATGTTCACTGTCACGTTGTACGCGTCATATGTGGTGTCCTTGACCCCCAGATTGTACACTTCCAAATTCTGCAGATTATATTCTTTAAGGTATGTGTTTGAGTCGTCGTCATCATAAATTACTTCGATGTTCATAGCATGGTTCGTATTCAATTGACAATCACGATCTTTGTAATCAGAAGGTCTATTGTAAGTATTATTGCCATTTATAAAAAAAATATGCGTCTAAAGAATTACAAGTGATAAAAAAGGTTAATTAATTCATACATATGCCTAAATTGATAATGGTTTTTTAAAAAAACCACATAAGGCTATATAATTCTTTGCAACTTATATTGACAAAAGGTCATGAAACTAATTGTTACCATTTTAGACAATGATTTATAGAATGGACTAATAAGAAAAAATTTATAGGCCTTACCAAATTAATAATTTTTGAAGAAGAGAATATAAACGACCAATCCAAATCATAAAACTATATAGTAGTTAGAGCTTCCTCTTAGATGATATGATGGAAGCTAGATAAGTAATCAAGACAATTATTATGAGATATTAAATTTCTAAAAGATTATCTTTTATTTTTAATGATATATAAACGACTACACAGTTGACCATTATTGCATATCTAAAATATGCAATCATATGCTCTCAGCAGCTGTAGTAATAATCTTAAATTACATACCCAAACAAATAATAGATGCTGGTTAATTTGCAGTAATGACCATGACACTCACGATGTAAGCTAGTATCAGAATTTATTATGTTGGATAAATTGATAAAATAAAAACACTAAAAATCTTTTGAAGAAATAATTGTGCAAATATATTGAAGCCTTGAGTTATTTACACATGCCAAGGATGCCATATTAGAAATAAAACATTTTGGAACTATAAAATAAGGACGAGAATGATATGATGAAACAATTATGATTTTATATACTGTCGCATCCAGCGTCTACATGAGCGGGAGGGGTAGGAACAGTTTGCATCCTACTTTTTTGAGGAGAGTAGGGGGTAGGCGGCTTTAATGGGGGTAGGATAAATTTCTTTGGGGGTTATCTATTAAATTTGAGATGAAATAGGAAATAAATAACTATTATAATACAATTCATCGACCAAATCTATATATTGCAAACAATCATATACATTGTTTTGCAAATTCTACTATCCTTTTAAATGTAATTTAAAAGGTTTAGATATTTTAGCAAGCTCATAATGCTATAATAATGAATTCGTTGTAAATAATCGACGTTTTAATTGAATTTATCTAAAAAATAAATCCTTTATATTTACAAAATAAATCCTTTATATTTACAAAATAAATCCTTTATATTTACAAAATAAATCCTTTATATTTACAAAATAAATCCTTTATATTTACAAAATAAATCCTTTATAATTACAAAATAAATCCTTTATATTTACAAAATAAATCCTTTATATTTACAAAATAAATCCTTTATATTTACAAAATAAATAAATCCTTTGTATTTACAAAATAAATCCTTTATATTTACAAAATAATTTACAAAATAAATCCTTTATATTTACAAAATAAATCCTTTATATTTACAAAATATTGATATTTGGCAGGTGGTAAATTTTTTAGGGGGGTAGGCAAAGGTTTTTGAAGGGGGTTTGCATCCTGTGAAAATTCTGTCATGTAGACGCTGGTCGCATCACCTCTAGTTAGTATATTATATCTTAAAATAATTGTAGTTTGTAAAAATATCAAAAATATACTTGTATTAAAGATTTAACTCAAAACTGTTTTTTGAAAAAGAAAAAATAGATTTCTTAACGTAAAAATAAAAAGAAAAGATATCAAATTTATTACATCTATTTTAAAATGAATAATAAAATGTTAAATTTTTAAAAATATTTATAAATAAATAAATGGCGGTAAATAGTTGAAAGCAAATTGTTACTATATTTATTATCAAAAGCATTTATTAGTTAAAATCATTATAATATTAGCTGTAATATATTATAACTGTCAAATACGTCTAAAAAAGTGGCATTTTAACAAATATTTTATAAACAACTGAATATAATAGAGGATTATAAACTATATGTCTACTTACTTACTTTTTATTATACTTATTTGGACCTTGAAAATGTTTTTAGGAATAGGTATGATAATAAATTTTAAAAAGAAATATACAGTTGATTAGTCATTTTGAACTCTGCTAATTTCAATATATTTTTTATTTTTCAATTAATAAATGATTATATTTATTTAATTAGGGTTATAAAATAATAAATAATAATAGTCAATTAAGCTTCAACTGTTAATGCTAAATTAATATTTAGTAAGTGATATTGATATTCTATTTTTAGCACAAAATTTGATTGCTAGCTGTTATAGTGAAAATATAATTTATATGTATTAATTTAATCTAATATTTAAAATAATATTCATTTTATAAATATTTAGATAGTCTTATAAATTTTTAAATAATAAAATTAAATCTATTTTACTTAATAGAATTAAAAAAGAAATCTTTCAGGGGGGCAATCAAAAAATTTATTTTTAGTTCAAGGGGTTAAGATTCCATTAAAAAAAATTTTTTTTGCTTCACGGGGCTATTTAAATTTTTCAGGGGGCTCGAGCCCCTGCGCCCCCCCTAGCGCGACGCCACTGTGTAATATATTGTATTTTTTATCTTCTAATAATAATAAATTGTAATATTGCAAACAAACTGCTTAAATACACTTAGATATTGTTTATTATCACTCAAAACAATAAATTAAAATTTTGGATATGAGCTTGGGCAAAACACTTAAGTCTTATGATAGGCTTGTGTTTAAATTTTATATATTAAAGATAGACTAGGCCTGCAAATTATTTTTACTGTTTACCTGAGCTAGGCCTGATGAAGAAATCATAGCTAATGAAGGTCTCTAATTTCAATAATTAAATTATTTCATTTCTTATCTTACTTTTTTTGATAAATAGTAACATATAAAAGCAATGGCCCTAATATTTTTATTGGAAATATATCTTATTATAATATTACTTACGAAAAGTAGATCAAATTTAGCATAGTTTTATTATTATTTAATATCATATTGTTTAATTTATAGGTCAACATTTAGTTTAAATTTATAACTCCTAGATTTTAGAACATACATTCATAAATTTCCATATGACTTATAACTTAAAAAAAATATATAGTGTATATGACATAATTAAATTAAAAGGTCCAATATCTCTAGCTCAATACATCAAATATGTTTTAACCAATCCATTAGATGGCTATTACATGAAAAAAACTGCCATTGGTCAAAAAGAAGACTTTGTAACATCACCTGAAATAAGTCAAATATTTGGTGAGGTATGGTCAATAGATTATTATAATATATCTAATATTTTTAGTAGATAATTGGGGTTTATATATTAAATGAATGGTTATCAAAATACAATAATCAACCCTTCAACCTAGTAGAGTTAGGACCAGGCCATGGCACATTAATGAGGGATTTACAACGAGTAAATAAACTCTACATGCTAATATTTCTACACAAAATATAATACAGACATTTCGAAAATTTCCATCAACAACAGATAAATTTAGATACAATATGATTGAAATAAGTCCTAAGCTCAAAAAGATACAGCAACAAAATTTAATAGATATAAATAACAAGAACTCTATAAATTGGTATGAAAAATTAGAAAATTTACCAATTGATATTGGTCCATATTGTTTTATTGCGAATGAATTTTTTGATGCACTTCCTTTTTATAAATTACAAGTAAAAATTTGAATTGGAATCATAAATTTATTATTTTACTTATAAAAATATCTTATATTAAACTGTCAAATTTTTTTTTATATATTGATTAAATTAAATTAAAAATTAATTAAATTTTACTTATCAATAAATAAATTAGAAAACAAAAGATGGATGGAGACAAGTTTTAATAGGATTAAATCCAGAACAAACTGATTTAACATATGTTTTAAGTTCCAAGGCATCTTACCTATCATCATTTATAAAGGTATTTAAAATTATACATATAATAATAGAATGTGTTTAATATACAATGTCTGATTTAAGAATCTGAATGAATGATTGCAAAAATTGATTGTGTTATAGTTTAGTTACTAATTCATTATTTTTAGCCAAAAAATAAAATTAATTATAGATACAAATTCCAAAAAAATTGTAATTTTCTAATCAACTACATATGTAATTAATTACTCTCAAACCTATGCCATAATTAAATATCAAATAGGGCTGATATATACCATTTGAACCAGGTTTGTGAAATGGCCTAGTTTCCCCCTATTAATTCCAATTACTTTATTAATATTAACAAATTGTGTAACTTTTTATAATATTTTCCAAAATAGGTAATTTTTATACTTAGATTTAATTTCTGCTTCTTTGTAGTGGAGTTACTTTATTTATTTATAAAAGAAAATAATTTGATCTAATGAGACAAAAAAATAAATAATTATCCTTATTTTTAACAACTGTAAAATTGTTTTAGTATAAATATCTCCTTCATAATTTTTTTTTATCAAATAAAAAAATTTCTAGAATTTATGAAATATTTAGATATCCAAATAGGCAGAATCTAAATATAATTATTACTGAGATTTCTTGTGCTACAGGAAAAAAGAAAATATAAAAATCCTGCACGATAAGATGGAGTCTTCGACATCAAGCTGCTACAGCATTTTTTTAGATCTAGAAGAGCCTATTTTAATGCACTTGGGAAAATATCAGAATCAATTGAAACGGATATTTTATCTGAAGCGGATACATTATTAGATTTAATATGACTGCCGATTTTTTTCTTTGGAATGTATTAATAAATTGTTTATTTTACCCCCTCCCCCCGTTGAAAATTTCTAGATACACGCCTGATCTGTGGTACTAGTAGTTTGTAGAGCTTGATATTTGTGAAATAGGAATAATTAATGACTGTTTCTCATAATTCTGAAATTTTCAACGCTGTTCTAAATACTGGATATTATTATAATAATGAATTGCACAAAGTGAACTATAATAAATAAAATAATTATCTTAGAAATAAGTATGATATTCGTTATTTAAGTGTTTAAATGAATATTATTAAAATTATAAAATATAAATGAATGATATTGTTTTATTATTGAGTAAAACATATTAGGAAGAAGAAAATTGACAGACTAGACATGTTTTTTTAATTTAAAATTTATTTAAAAAATATATAAATAATCTAATAGTGTTTAATTAAAAACGTTAAAATGCTAAAAATTTAATGAGGAGAAATTTTAAAATTGCGGGAATTTTGCGGGAGGGAGGTATCTCCGTGCCAACTAAAAAATTGCGGGAGTCTCACGCTGATGATGGGACCTGGCAACCCTGATTCAATCTGATGAGGAAAATACAATTAGTGAAAATTTAGTTAATTTAAATATTTTTCTATTTTCCTTGATTTATGGGTTTTTAACAAATTAAAGGGGGGGGGAGGCACAAAGTTTTAAATAAGGGATATTTGACTTCCAAGGAATTGTATTCATCAAGTTTCAGGTTTTCCTTCGATAATAGATTGGGTTCTAGAATGAATGTGCGCTACTTTTAAACTCTGACTTAGTATTAGATTTAACGAGGTATGACTTTGCCTAGGATAGATATCGAATACATTTAATACAAAAATTAAATATTTCAAATGATAAAAGTCTTAATCTATTTAAAAATTATTATATATTATATTTTTTTTAAAATTTTTATATTTATTTTTAAAAAAATTATTCTTTAAGGAAAATGAAACTAGAGACCATGTTGAAATCAGTCCAGAAATTGGCTCCATCCTTAAAATAATGTGTGACAGATTGTCTGAAAATGGAGGATTTGCCCTGATTTGTGATTATGGACATTTAGGGGACAAAAGCGATACCTTCAGGGTTTAAATTAATGTTAATTATAATAAAATAAGAAAGAAAGCAAGAAAAGGGTATTTTCCCCACCTCGTAAAACTAAAAGGGAATTATCACTGAAAGTCCTTTTAAACCCCTGACTTTGGCCAATTCTAATATTGCTTAGCCAAACTATCTTAAAAAATATGACTTAAACCTCTATATTAAACCTTAAATTAACGGTTATAACGTATTTTTCTAGGATAAAAAATTGGCTAAGCTGTTTTATTTTGGAAAAATCGACGACTTACCACTACTAGGAGGAGGGCCCTCGATTTTATAATTACTCACACCCGTTTTATTTATGGATTATATATAATGTTTATTGCCGTAATATATGTATTGCAACAATAGATTAATAAATAAAGCTATCTAAAAATCAATTTATAATTCTGAAAAGGAAATAAGAGTCAAGTTTTAAATTATACTAATTAATTAAGCAAATAAGAAGGCAAAAAAGTGTGTAAATTCAGCTTTCGGATTTTGCGATGTTCACTAATTGAAATGGACTATATGAACAGATTTTAAGTATTAAGATAGCCTAGGGATGAAAAACCTTTTTTTCGGGAAAAATACAAATTGTTTTTTAGTTATTTAAAATTTCTTTTATTAATATAATATTATATTTAATGCTAAATTTTTTATTTTCACAATCATTTAAATAAAATTTTAAAATGAAATAAATTTAACAATACAAATAATAGACAATCAAGCTTTCATGAACATTTTCTCATTGAAATATAAATTGGTGTATGTTGTGAACAAAATGGTAGTGAGTTGATGCAGGCTCATAATGTTGTATAATATCAACTTTCTGCTCGAGAATTTATCATTCTTATACAGTTTATATTATGATCCAGTGTGCTGCTACTTGAAGAAGAAATGTGTTATGAGCACTATTTGCATTGATAAATTATTTCCTTTTTTTTCTAGCAATAAAAGGTTGTCGTATACATGATGAGATTTGTATCACAGCATATTACAATTTAAAAAAATTAATAAAATTCTACTTTTAAAAATAATTTACATTGTTATTTAAACATTCTCACCCAACCCTTACCGAAATGTTTTATAATAATTTTGCATTTATCGAAAAATAATATTTTAATAAAGTTTTTTTTATAATATAAAAATAAGTTTAGGTTTAAAAAGATTTCCATCGTTCCCTCGATGTTGGTGGCATTGTCTTTTTAGTATTTTTTAAAATTGTTTTTTTCAATTTTTTCTGTTGTTTTTTTGTTGTTTTTTGTTGTTCAAAAAGCTGTTTTTTTTGTTTAATTTTTTTCGTTTTTTTCTATCCCTAAGTTGACATTAAACTTTTAGAAGAGTGTTCTATATATTTACGAATAGAAATCATTCTAAGTTAAAATATTTGAGAAAGATAATACGCTTTATCATTTGATTGCATTTATTTAAGAGACTATAAAAAAAAATTTAATATCATTTTTATTGGTTAGGCTTTTAAAAATCACGAAATCCAAGATCCGCTTTCTAACCCCGGAGAGTGTGATCTAACGGCCGATGTTGATTTCGAGTTTTGCTTACGAATTCTACGTTCCTACAACGAAAAACTGGGCAAACAAAATTGGAAACGCAATAAAAACCGGGGAAAAAACTTTGACGGGGAAACTCTCGATAAGTCAAATTTAAAATATGGTGATTACACCGATGTAAATCGCTCAAAAACTATAAACGATCAATTTACGGCGAACACAAACGGGGAAAAGAATGATAGGTTGGAAATCATAGGGCCAATTGATCAAAGACAGTTTTTACTGGAGAACGGGGCAGCGCTTAGACTTCAAATGTTGTTGAATAAACTAGATCTTAACAAGGATCCAGATACAGAACTGGAAAAGGAAAAATTGATGAAAAACTTCGAAGTTTTGGTCGGACCTAACGCTATGGGAAACCGATTCAAGTTTTTGATCATTAAGTCTCGATAATTATTTAAATACAAATCGTGACTTATTGTATATGTACTAATATGGATAAAATTATTTTATATCTTATTTTTGATGAAAAATAAAAATTGTCTGGTGTGAGTGTTCCAATATACTATCGAATAAAATTAATCCTATTATATATTATTTTTTATATATTTGCCTTGTACACATCTATTTATATATATATGTGTATTTGTTAAATAGTAGAGTTTTTTCGACTCTGAACTCGAGCCGGATTTCAAAAAACGGGTTAAACTCGAGCGGCTTAATGAGTCATTTAAGCCGACTCCTGAGCCGATTTATATTTAAAAATCATATTATATATAAGAATTCATAAAAAAATTTATACAATCTATTTTATTTTATATATATAATCCAATAAATATCATATTTATACAATCTAATAGTAATTTTATTAGGTTAATTCATCCAATGATATATAATATTTTATGTCACAAGAGACCTTGCGGATGTGGGATTCCAAATCTTTGAAGAATAAAGCATATTATCAAAGTATTTTAAAATTGGGTTGGATTGATTCAAAAGATTGATGAAGGAATAGTTTCAAACTAGAAATTGGTCCCTCTTCATAGAATTCCGGTGATTCCACGAGGCTGTTGTCCGTCGAATTTGAAAAGTCTAGGTGTTTCAAGTATGGAAGATATTTAGGCGCATCTTAAGGCTCACTGGCTCAGCAAATGGCAAAAGTTGTCTCTGAGGATTTGTCTTATACGATCGAAAAATATACCAAAAAGATTAATAAAGAGCTAAACCAACAAATTAAATAATGTTAAAAATTTGGGCGGATGGGTTAGTCAAAATTTTTAGATGAATAGGTGGAAGGGGCAAGGGATTTATTTTAAAACCTAACCATCATTTTATACATGCAATTTTGTGTTTCTGGTTCAAGATATTAAATGCGAAGAGGTATAATTTAAAAACAAGAGTTGGGCGTAAAGCATAAAGAATGCATGGAATGTTAAAGAATTTTTGAGTAGGAAAAATGATTTATGTGAGGATACCTGGCCAAAATTAAATCTTAAGGAGGATATCAAGAGTAGGCTGTTGTGAAGAATTCGAGCGGAACCTAAGTACGTTAGTTCCGCTAGGGTAGTGATTTTGAAATTGTGATTATTCGGATCAGAATTTAGTTGTACAAATTCTGATTTGTTGGGGATGTGAATGAGACCACAGCGTACCCCACCTTTTTATGTCTACTAAAAAGAAATTTTTTTAAATTTATCATCTTTGCAAATTCTTTGTTCAATTATAGATAGCAACTTAATAGATTATTAAATTTTCCCGAGATATTGTTTTTTCTTTATTTTAAAAATTAAGGTTTTTTGAGTTATTGTTTTTGCATTTTTTACATTTCTTCTTGTTTTTTACTATTTGTGTAATACTTTATGATGATTCATGTAATTTTTATATGATTCTAGATGACGTCTCTATCAATGAAAGAAAAAATATTTTGGATTAGAGATTTTTTTACTATTAGTTTTTATTTTTAATATATTTTATCAATTGTCTTTTACTTGTTCTTTTCAATTCTAAAAGATTTTTAATATATCATTTTCATTTCATCATTAATCATCAATATAACATTTATTTAAAAAATAAACATAAATTTATCCAAAAATGAATATGAAATTATTATAAGAATGATTTTAATAAAATTATAAAATATATATTTAAATGCAACAAAATTAGATGAATCTGTAAAGCCACTTATAAATTAAAGGTATTCTTTATACTCTGCATTAATTCTCATATTGTTATTGGTATGTTCATGTTGGGTGACTTCAAAAAATTTTCTATTTAATATGCTCAATTTATTATTGTATTCTCCTTATGTGCCATCATTGTTTTCACTTTCCGATTCTATAATTTATCATCAATAATTTGGTTCATAATTTTATATATGAGGTGATGCTAGATTGGTTATTTTAATAAATGGTAGTTGAGTACCAAATTCCTATATGAAGAGGAAGACCAACATCATATATCAATATCCTATCTTAAAATATCTAAACTCGTATTAAGTTTTCCTTTTAAATTTAAAACATATGAATATCATTTTAAATTTTAATACTATTTAAATCAAAGATACAATTTTTTTTAAAATACTTATATCTTTTTGAATGCAAAGTTGATTAAGATACAGATTTTTTTAAATAATCTTTATTTTGGATATAAGATAAGATCTTAAAGTTTAAAAAATAATATAGATACAAAATATAGACACAAAATTATCTTGTATCTTGGATACACATCCTCGATACTGCTCATAGTATATATACCAGACGTGAAGCGAAGGGAACATGCAGATTTAATGATTTGAATTACAGTTGAGAGTATTGCGTGGGAGTTGACTTACAAAGTATTGGGATCGTAAAATGGCAGGACAATATGTGTATAATAATTACTATGTTAAGTTATGACGAAGTAATATGACCGTTTTCTTTATCTTTTCAAATTTTGACGGTTAGACCTAAGCCATAGATATGTCAATAATATCTGAATTTTAAAAATCTCTAATTTTATTTTCTTTCCGAGGGGCTTCTTGGCCTTTTTTTATGGACAGGAAGTTGATGCAACAAATAGGATGAATATTTTATAGACAGATATGGGGGAATATTTTGTCATTTATGCAATTTTAAGTGTATCATAATTGATATGCGAGGGAAAAAATACAAATATACTTACAAACATCGAAAGTTTTGTGTCGAAGTCAAATTAAGGTTGTGATATTAGACACATGTTTATCGACTATAAAATAAAATTAAAAATTTTTTTTTAAAATCAGAACATAACAAAACATTCGGACAATTATATTGAATTTTTTTAAAAATATATTTATAAATTTTTTTATCAATATGAATAATATTTCATATTTCAAAATTTTTTTTATTAAAAAAATGAAAAATTGTTTATAATAATTTTTTGGTCTATATAAATGGGTTTATAAATGTGGTATGGTAAAAAATAAATTAAAACTAAGGATTAGAGAAATTCAACAAACAGTTAAATTTATTTCTAACAGTGTAATAAGTATGTGAAGAATGCCTAATTCCTATCAGAAATATTGAAACATAATACGGCTCCTTTTCGGGAACGCAAATAGTCGATATTATTAATTATTATATTTTAATATATATTATTTTAAATATATTTTTATTTTTTATAGCTTTTTAAATAGTATTTTTACAAATAAAGATTGATTTTAAAATAAATAAAGGGGAGTCCAGGGTAAAGCGATATATGTTTAACTTTTTAGCCTTTAGATATTAATACCTCAAATTTTATAAGTGTATTTTTTTTAAATTTCTTACATATGTGCATCTTTTCGAAAATGTTCCAGGGCTGATATGTCAAAAAAACAGTATTTTTTTACTCTTAAATTATGAAAATTACTTTATAAATATTGTCTATTTATACGAATTGATTTAAAATTTTGTACACGTGTTCCTCGGATAAAAGATATTAGACGTTTATAGTCCTCACTGAAAATCGAGCAATAACAATTTTTAATATAATAAATTTAATCTTGGGACGATGCTGTTATGAGTAAAAGAGTTTAGTCTGATTAATTATGTAAAAAGAGAATTTCGAAATAATTTGCATTCCGTGTAAAATGAACAAAAAAAAACATTAATATGTGTTATAAAAAATTTTTTTTTTAAAATAGTCGCGGAAATGATTTAAATGTACGATGGTGCCTAAATTGAATTATCTTAAAATTTATTCCTTACATTCTCTTATTATTATATAAGTTTAAATAATAATTTTTAAATTTAGTATTTTTTTCAATAATACAGTAAAGTTGTGTTCATATATTTTGCGAAAATATTAACATTTCACCTAAATATTTATATTTTTAAAAATATATTGGCAGGAAAAGCTAAACTTTTTTTTATGAGATGGATTGGGCACATCTTGATCTATAATTTGTTTTTACTTGCATTTGTTTTAAATTTTCTGATAGTATTGTAAAACCTACCCTGACCCCCCCCCCCACCCCCTCATCTATCCTACAATATATACATCTTACAAGGATAAAAAATCTGCCAGTGAATCATTCAATTTTAAATGATTTACTGATATCGCTTATGGAAATTTTTATATCGCCGAAATGTATTTCAACATGAATAGAGGAAAACTCACGTTTTAAATTTTGACATTGAATCTTTTTTAAATTTATTTATAATATTATATTAATGAGTATAATTTCTTTTACGTTGTTCTTATAAATTCTTAGTGTTGGATACTCGATACATGCTTGAATTTACATTTTCGATCAAATTATATTTTTTATTTTTTTTTAAATTTAAAAATCCCTTGCAAAATAAATTATTTTAAATTAAAAATATTTGAAATCCCCAAAGGATTTCATAGAATGCTTAGAGTACCCAAACTGTAAATTTCAGAATTTTGTCAAAAACATTTTTTGAATTACTCCTAAATTTATAAGAGACCTGTTCAAATAGTTTTTTTTGTACTAATTTATAATAATTTTTATGAAAAAGCAAAATGGTTTATTGGCAAAAATTTTGCAAAAAATTCATATATACTTTTACATTGTGCTGGAATAAATTTACCGCCAAATCAAAATTTTCATATTTACTCTTCACTTCAGTTAATGATTTATTGAGAGGTTTCGAAATCCTAATACAACATATATATTTGAAAATTGTTGAACACAAATAAATTTTTCATTACAAAATCTTGCTAGTTTATTTGCATTATTTTATTTTTATAGTGATAAAATCAAAAATATTGCGAATGTGTTAGGAAAAAAAAATCGGCATTGAATAGTTTCAACAAATGTCAATTTAATACCCTAGCCAACCCTATATATAGATATATTTAGTGTGAATTAAGATGTTGCATTTTGTACATAAAACCTTTTAAAAACTTATAATAAGCTGTGAAGATATATATAATACATAATTCATCATAAAACGTTTATATATCTTTAGAATATCAACATTTTATTTATTGCCCTCATATAATTTTTAATTTTTTGCCGAAATAACGCGACGTTTTTTTAGTTATCAATATTGTGGTAACCATGGAGGAAAAATTGGTCTGATTAAAATCGGCATTTGATACATTTGTTGTATTGGAGTCGCCACTATCATTTTTAGAATCAGAAGGGGAACCCCATAGTATATTAACGTTTTTAGAATTAGGATTCCACACAAAATGGAAGTAAAGAACGAAGGATAAAGTTATGACAAACAAGATACCAACGCAAAGAGTGGAAGCCACGAATTTACTAAAACATGTTATGTTTTTCTCGGTCCTCAATACACTCAAGAATACCTTGTGTAGGACAGTGTGGTGGCGGGACTTGTTATCATAGTCAATCACTTTTATGTTATTATCTTTGTGAAAAGAGATCTGCTTATGCATTTTAGGATTTGGAAGAGTCGATGATCTACGTACGTTTTTAATGGGTAATTTCGAATGGTCAGATTCACTATCAATCTTTGTCATAAGATTTTTGCGTCTTATTTGAGGTTCAACGTGGGGAGTTGGTTTATCTGATTTATGGTTGACGTTTTCTACCGTGATATTAATATTTCCAGAATTTCGATGTGACGATACCTCGCTAATATTAGAAAAAGGTTGATCTGTAGATTCAATTTTGGAAGAATCTAATATATTTGGAATAGGTGTATCAACATCGTTATTTAGATCCCTGGACACGAATTCGATGCCGATGGATTCTATAGAATCTATCATTTATTAGTTTTCGATCATCTTTATTATTCTTTATGATTTTTAAGCCAAATTTTAACTATGAAATTAATAAAATTACGATTATAAATTAAATACCACAAAAATAAAAGGTTTATGTAAGAGGAATAATTTACGATGCCACTATAAATTTATCTGTTTTCTTTATTCGCTGGTAAAAACACAAAAAAAATGAAAATCAAGGTGACAATACATAATTTATAAATGTCCTCAATATTTTTTTTATTCCGTTTTAATATAATTTTTCTGCCTCTTTTTTTATATATAAAAAAGTTATTTATTACTGTTATTAGTTTCGCAATTTTCATAATTATTATCATCCATACACAATATTAATATTTATATTATAGTATAATGTATGTTCTTTTTACTATGTTTAGATCGATAATTTAAAATTTAAAAAGATAAAAAATAAATAAATATATCTAAATTATAATTGCAAGTGTATATTATGTATTTTATAGTGTTGTTATCCTAGATTTGAGCTGATTTTAAATAAACGGCTAACTCAATATTTTAGCCAGAAAAATATTGCCTAAACCTCGATTTAAAAAAGAATAATTTGCGAACATTAGAATGGTTATGTCTCTATAAGATAAAAATATAATATTTTTATTAGATTCTTCCTTTTTGTTTTATAAAAACTACATTAAAAAAGTTATAAAAGGAATAATACCTTAAAAAGTCTAGTTAAACTTTTATGTAAAAAGTGCGAAAACTGAAATATTTATTCTTTGGATAAAAGGAACCAGTTGGAAACTCTATCTCTAATAATAATTAAAATTTGTCAGTTATACGTTTTAAAAAACTGGAAAATTAAATTAAATAGGAAAACTTTTAACAACTCTACTGCTTTTCACGATATCTATGCTTTATTATATTTAAAGTATAAAGTGATAAGGATATTATAATGGTTAGAGAGTTTAAAAATAAAGTAAATTCTCTCAAGACAATATTTTTCTAAAATTAGTTTATCCAATCTCTTAACTCCATTCAAATCTTAATACGATGGGTCAAGTGGAGAATTAGATATTATTTATATATTTATTTTTTTTACTTTTCCTTACGACAAGGTTATGTCAAAATGTTCATTATTAGAAAATTTATAATAGGTTTGCAATTTAAAAAAAAATCCATATCAGAATTTGACATCAATTATAATGTCAAATTTATTTATTGATATATTTCAAAAATTATCTTTGCATTAGGGAAGAAGTGCTTTATTCTGCATTCACAGTTAGAGCGATATCCCGCCGGCATACAAAATATGCTTTATTTTTGTATTCTTGTGAATTTTATGCGCTTCGCCATGAATTCGCGCTAACGGAGAATTCAGGGTTAAACGTCCAAAGATGTAGAATCGCCTCCTCCATCCCCATTCTTTTTCTCTATTGGATCAATTTCTTTCAAAATTGGTCAAAATGTGTACATTTGCCATGTATCTTACTCAAGTTCAATTGAACAATCGATTTAAAAATTGTTTATGTACATCTTTCCCAAAAAATCGCATTTTTTTCTATGAAAAAATTACCTAATCAAATTTCTGATATTATTTTTTTAAACATTATACTCATACAAAAAAAAATATAGAACTAGTTTCGAGTGCCTGTAAAAAATTACCATTAAATAAATGAGTCATTTTAAAAATTTGTATTAAAATATATCATAATTATTTTATGGTTTAAATTTCAAAAATAAAGTTTATTAGTTTTTAGAACTATTTGAGAAATCATCTGCCCCGGTATTACACATGTCTCTTACATATTAAATTTTATATATTCATTTTTTTATATTTTTGAGACTATTTAAGCTTCTTATTTAAATACAAATTTGCCTTAAATTTTAAATCACGGAAACTATTTAAGAAGAAAATACCTGCCCTAGATAAATCTATCCCCGGTGTAACTTTTATATTAATTATGCTCTATAGAGATAGTATTTAAACTTAGAACATTGTAATGTCATTCATTTTATAATGGTTTTTATATTTATAATGTAGATTTAACGTTAATGTCAAATCATATTTGGTAAGAGTACATATAAGAGGCAATACCTCTAGAAATATCGTTTGGTGGTCATATATAAAAATTACGGTTCTGTACCTTGAAAATATTAAAATATTATTTTATTTTGTAATTTGTATTCATAAATGGTTAATTTAATCTGAAATATATCATCCTCACCCTTCTCCTAAGTTCTAGTTAAATCAAATCTTCTCTTCTATGCCTGATGCTGTTTTTAAATTTAAAGGTTGTAACTTCATGTTCTTAGCATTAGCTATGCATTCATCATTGTTCTCACCGAAATGGATAGAATTATCTATTAAATAATGAAGATTTAATATATATTTTGATTGTTTTGTATCACCTTTTAGAGATGAATTTGAATTACCAAATAACGCTCATAAAATAGTTAATATCAATTGTCTAAAACTTTATAAATAAATTTAATTTTTAAATATATTATATTATAAATTAATTTAAAATATTTTGAAAATTAAATTAAAATTAGACAGACTTGTTAATCGATAAAATAAGAGGATCGAAATCCGGGATCGACTTTTTTAAAAAAAGGATCGCGATCACGATCCTCAATTTATGTCTGGATCATAAATCCGGGAAAATTAACAAATTTAGGATCGAATTCAGGATCAGCGATCTTTTGATTAGATCCTTTATCAACTTTGAATTTAGATAAGCTATAAAATATAATTTATATGTGATAGGTGGCCATCTCAGGATCTATTGGCGGGGGAAGGGAAAAAGGAAGGTTAAACCTCTTCCCCACTAAATTTTTTAAAAAGTATTCATAACGTATATATTCTTTTTAATTTTTATAGCTCCTCCTTCCTTCCTCTGCCAAACAGTTTAAGCAATAAACCTATTATGGTTGCTGTTTAAGGTTCGATAGCTCTCACATATCAAATTTAAAATCACATGATATTATGATTTGATCATTTAAAATGTAATTTTTCTTTTCCATTATACGACTATCATGTTACCCATCTAACTATCAATAATAAAATTAGATATTTATTGAGATTCCTTTCGCAGAATATTTAATGATCTTCATTTTAATACATTTTCTGTATTTCTATTAACTTTATATTATTTTACTTAAATGATTAAAAATGAAACGCTTTCTAACGATTTAAGAAGCACAGGCTCACTTTAAAAAAACCCAATTGAGAAAAACTGCCGAAATTAATGGTAAGAGGATTTATAGATATTGCAGGTAACATTGAAAATCATAATTCAAATGATAACAATGTTCTAGAGACATTATTAATTACAAGAAATCATCTATATTGTCTCACAATTTTAAATGGAGGAAAACAGATAAAGAACGAGCGAAAAAAAGAAATAAGAAAGAAATATTTTCTGCATTCTCCTTTTATCGTAAGAAGACATTAAATATAAAACTGATTGCATAATAAAAAAAATCCATTAAGAGATATCTAATATTAATCAAATTAAATTTCCTAAATGTATAACAATGTAATATTTTATTGAGGTAAAATTAATTAAATATTTTTATATACATCTCAAATGTTTTTTAAAGAGCCGTGAACCCTCCTTCTAAAAAAATGGTTCAGTGAAATATATCTGAACCAGGTTCGGGTTCAGGTAGGTTCGGGTTCAGGTGGGCTCTTGGTCCAGAAAAATAAAGACTTATAAAATTTAATAAAAATAACAGAAACATCAGCCTTTTTATAAATTTTATTTTACTATATTTAGGCCTTGCCATAAAAATAAAAGCGAAATATCATGATATCTTACAAAATCTAGATGCTTAAATTAAAATAACGATTTTTTATGCCTAACTTTGACATTGCATTGCAACTTGGAATTAACAAAGATATTTATTTGTGATTATTTTCTTTTTTTTTTACCTTTAATAATCCAACAAACAAAAATAAATTTTCCTAAAATATATATTATTGTCTTTTATTAAAAAGAGTTACAAAATATGGTGGTAAAAATTTTAAAAATTTATATATAAAATGAAGTATTTTCTAAAATATAGTAAAAATTATTCCACGCAAAATAATTTTCACAAAAAAATAATTTTTTATATTTGATATTAATATTATTTTTAATAAATTATATTTTAAAAAAATGTTATTGAACCGTGAATCCTAAATTTTAAAAAAGTGTTCGGATTTTGGTTCATTGAAATATTGTTCTGGTTCACGTTCATAGCTCTGCTTTTTTAAAATAATGCTAAAAAACTTAATTTTTTTAAAAGAGGAAGTAGATAATAAACAGTATCGAGGAAGGCATTCGTATAAAAAGATTCATCAAAGAAAACCCAATTTGAAGATATGAAAATTGACTAATATAATGATATAATCTAGAGGAAAGAGCAATGATAAATACAAGTTAGTTGTATTACACAACGAGAACACCTGATGATTTGTGTCAACACTGTTTATCTAAAGTTACAGAGGGAAGAAGATATTGAATTTGTCATAAGCACACAAAATGCAAACGTTTTAAATCACACACTATATTAAATGCTTGATAGATTTTTTAATTTTTTTTTTATATTTTTGTTATTTTATGAATCACGAATCAATAAAATATTTTCTAATGTATTGTATATGTTATAGAATATAAATATGGTTTTAATGTTGTTATCTAAATATTCGCGATTAAAATATAAAATTTTAGTTTTGTTAATCATTATCAGTTAGTATTTATGATTTTTTCCCCCTTGTGATCAATATCAGGAAATTGGAAAAAAAATTTTAAAACGACTAGATTATTAATTTTTCAAAAAAAATATTTTTAGATTAGGTTTTAAATATAGTTTTTTAAATTTTAATGTGGGGAGATTTGATATATTTTAATCCCCACGATTTTAAAGTTATAATTGGCTATTAATTTTTAAATATTTTGGTTTATTCATCGTAATTATCTTTTTTTTTATAATCTAAAAGTTGCTAAAAATTAATATACAATAGGCTTTTATATTGATACTATTTTGAATTAAAATTTTTATTTTATAAAATAACCTAAGATGATTAGTTTTTTTTTGGTAACTTTAGTATTAGCAAGTTATAAGGTAGCAGGTAATTTTGTTAAATATTATATAAAATATTTTTTTGGCCCTGCTTGATATTGATCCTTCTCTCATTAATTTTTAATAAAAATAATATAAAACAATTTTTTTTCGATATAGGAGGCCATAATAGACGTGCATCTTGGAAACAATATGGGCATGGTTATGGTCATGGGCATGGTCATCATTTTGATATAGATTCAAATCATCCTGTATTTCATCATGTCGAAGGAAGAAATAGCAGAGTATGGGGGAAGGATTTTGATAACAATGACCCAGACGAATATGATACAAATAGCTTTTGGGATGACCTCGATGATTGGGATAATTTTGATGAAGATAAAAATTGGGAAAATTATGGAGATGAGAGAATGGTAAATGAAATAATAATTTTCGTGTTTAGAGACAGATGTTTCTAACTTTGAAATATATAATTAGAGCATTTTGATATTAGTTTTCAATTATAATTGTTTCATTTTAAAGCACAGTAACTTTATGAGGCTTATCTTTATTTATCTCTATGTCTTTTTTTAAAAAAATATGATTTTGTTCAAGTCAAAAGTTAGCAATCGTAGAAAAGACATCTACTGCACATATAATACCGAGTCCATTTGCTCTGGTATAGGCAAACGATTTAGGGAACTTCCTGGTTGTCGGTAACAAATTAATATTATTAGAGAAAATGTTTAAAAATTATTTACTTAATATGGTAGGAAATTCGTAGATTGCAATCATCCCGAGAAAGCAATTTATATATGCGGACGCCGTCAAATCTTTCACCAGAAAACTCAATTGTGCCAAAATATTAATCGAAATATCAAATGTCGTTGTTACATAGGTAATATCTTATCGAATACTCTTAAAACTACCATTTTAATTAAACCCTCTATTACCACCCCCATACAAACTACAGATACCACTACTCAGCAAACAGTAACTACACCTACTACATCTACTCTTACAACCACCTTAACTACACTATCCGTTACAACCCCCATACAAACTACCACTACAACTACTCAGCAGCCAATGACTACTGCTACTACTAAACTAACTACGACAACTCTAGCCCCCATGAGTACTAAAGCTCTTTCCACTTCGCAAAAAATAATTATTGGTACGACTAAGCCGAAACCCTAAATACATAGCAAATGATAAATTTATCATTGCATGGATATTTATTTTATATAGTATTAGTATATATAATAATATCTTTATTGTATATTATATTATAATATTTTTTTTATATTTAACTTTTGCATATCCATTAATATGTTCAACTGATTAAAAAAAAATTCTCGTTATTATAAAAATGTGATTTAATTTTAAAGTTTTTAATAAAATTTAATATTATTTATTTAGTTATAATCAAGTATCGATAATTATTAATTTTTTTTCGATTTCTTATTCATATTAATATATAGTTTTTTTATATTATAAATATATATTATTAACTCAGATATCCAGTATTTACTTATTTACTATCATTTTTAATTTTAATGTTCTTTTTGATTTGTTTATGGAAGTTCATATTAGTTTAGTTATTGTATAATAAGAAAAAGGATTCAAAAAACCCTTATCGGAATAATTATTATTTATACCAACTTTTTAATATTTCTTATTTAAGAAACGAAATATGCAGAGATTAAATATTATAAATAAAATAGTCTAAGAATGTCTATATTTTAATCATGCAAGTCAGAGGGAACTATAGTAAAGAAAGATTGTTTATGTTAAAAAAGATATATATTTGAATTATTTTTAGAGAGATGTAGAACAATTTTGCTATTCCTCTAGTAAAATAATATTACAAGAGTAAAAATGCATCGTGGTTTTAGGTTGATTAGAAAATAATATTGTTAATGAATGGCATAGAGATTGATGTTAAACCAATAATAATATAATATTATATAGTCGGGCAGAGCCTGAAATATTTTTTTAAAAAAAGCCTAGACCGGGACGTAAAAAATTTTAAAAAAAAATCCGAGCCGTGCCCTGCAAATAGTACCTCTGCAGGACTCTGTTATTCTTTTTAAAAAAGAGAATGTTCTCTCATTAGTTTACTAATAGGAAGAGTTGCTAATATATAAACCCTTTTAATACATTAAGAATAATCGAAAATGTGTTTGAAATAATACAGAGCATCCATTAGTGATCTGCATCGGGTCTAATTTTTCAAGTCCGGCCCGGCCCGAAATTTAAATATAGAAATTAATTTTTATAATTACCCAAAATAAAAGATATATGTTATATGTCGTTTAGTTTCAATAAATAAAATCAAATATTTTTATTTTACATAAAAAATTCAATATAAAGTTGAAAAAATTTAGATATATTTAAAAAAATTTCTAAGGTCCTACCCGACCCTGCCTGATTTTTTTGAAAAAATATTAGGGCCCGGCCCGAACCCGATTAGCCGGGCCGGACTAGGGCTGGGTACGGGCCGGGCCTAACTTTGCAGATCTCTAGCATCCATAGCATTTTTTGAGACTATATCAACCATAGTTAATCCTACATACATAGTTATTCAGCTAATAAGGCATCATAAGATATTTTAACATCTTCATGATGAAAATCTAACAAATATTTTTTTCCCTATCACCATCTGAAAAAGATTGAGAAAGCTTTTGTGGATGTAATATTTGCAGATGGTGAGTGCTGCATGATAAATTAAAAACCATTCATTTATTTATAAATGTATCTGTATCTAAGATATACTCTTCTATTATCCTATATTAATGTTTTAACGAAGAGTTTGCCTTGCTGCAAGTCGAGGGAAACAAATATTAAACACCTATAGCTCTGCTTTTGACTCAACAATACACAAAATACTAAATTCTTCATCAACATTAGCCCTAATTTCCTTGAGTTCTAATAAAATGCTCTTCGCTTTTCTCATCTTCTTAATCAAGTCAATGTCATGATATAATTAATATTTAAATTTTTTTAATTTGCTCGGTCTTATATGGGTTTTGTGGGAAAAAATTATTTTTAGGCCTAGATCAAGTTTGTTGATTAAACCCGACCCGAATTTTTTAATATGAAATACTATTCTATGGCCCACGCCAGTCTGGTTAGGGTCCTGGGCAGGGTCTGCCATTTCCCTTTATAAAGATAGGGGGTCGTTTTTTTTATGTCATTAGATTTAGCGGCTATGAAATTAAAGGAATGATTTAGTGATATAACACAAACAGATTTTTTTATTTTACTCCAGAGGGGATTAGATGAAAATATCTGTATAAAAAGTTATATTAAAGACTTTTGAAAATGATGGACTAAATCTAATAGTATCATTTCCATAATTGCTGATTTATTATAACGATATTTAGCTTCTAGCCGTAGTGAATGTATGAAGATGATATCGTTAATTGAACTAACCATAGTTTTATATTACCTCACAATTTAATTATATAATTTATCTGGCATTTAGAATTTATCAACGTTATATAAATAACTGTTAACTATTCCATCGACAGACAACAGAAAGGGTTAGAAAAGTTAAAATTTGAGAAACAGCTGTTTAAAATATCTAAAAAGAAATAATAAAAAAAAAGAGAAATCATGGAGTAAAAGTTTTGATTTATTTGATATGTTGGTAGAATTATATTTTTTAATTTGCAGCTTCTTCGATAAGCACCCATTTTCTGATATACCCTGGCAATAAGAAAATTTAAAGGCGGGCTCAGTTTGAGAATAGACTTTTTAAAAGTTTGAGTATAATGTTTAAAATTCTCAATCTCTGTAGGCCTCTGCTTTCTATACAAATGCATTACATCCATTTATTCTTAATCAGAACTATTTGTAAAGAGATTACTAAAGATTGAAGGAAGCGTCTTGTAAAAATAATTTAAAAAATAAGAGGAGAAATGTTAGAATCTCTTCACAAAGGAATAGAATTAATAAATAAAGTTTGAAAAATTATTTATAGAAATAAAAATATTTTTACATATATGAATATTAGAATTCATAATCATGTAATCTGATAAATTACACCATTATGTAAACAGTAAAAATAAAATGCAAAATGTCGCATTCTTCCTTTGTTGCTTTGAACAACAGTTCAGTAAATAAATTTTTAGGGTCAATCTCATTTAACAACTTTAGCTTAGAACTCTTAAGAATTCAGTTTTACATTAGCTAAAGGTGAACATTAACTCAATCACTTCACATAAATATGCAAGAAGCCACAAAGAACTCCAATGCAACAGAAGCAGTAAGCAGCTCCATAACACCCCCCCCCCCCCAATATTTACAGATTAGAGAAGACCTGGAGTTACTAGATTGCCATGGGAGGATTTCAAGTTCATAATATTGGATTTTTCTTGAATCGGCCTTCTGGCTCCATCAATTTAAACAAAGATCTACTAGCCACAGAAAGATTGAAATGTGAAAAATATCGGAACAATGTCATTTCTTTTTCTCATTATGACCAGACTAGTAACCTTTATCTCAAACTTAAGACTTAACAAAAAAAACTTGGTAGATTTATCTCGGTCATTCCAATTCATTCTTATTTCAGCTATTCTATTCGCGATAAATTAAAAATAAAATGATAACTATTATCATGATAAATCAAATGATAACGAAAAACAATCAAACGAGATGATGATAAGTTGACGATGACGATGACGATAACAACAAGATGGACAATCAGGAATCGTAACGCTAAACTTAGTAAGACCCCCCCCCCCACCCACTAAAACAAAGGAGGGAATGTTATATATAAATATATTTAAGTTTTATTCCTCATTGCATGATTGAAAACATTTTAGTTTCATTTATATTAGTATTGCGTTACAATTTATATTTCTTCTTATTTTGTCACCTAACTTAAATTCATTCTTGAATAAAGTATATTTTTGTTTTATTTTATTTTTGTTATGCACATTTTTAAAATGATTTATTTTAACCTATTTTAATTTTTGACAAAAAGAGATATATAAGGTATGTTTTTATTAGATAGTAATGTATTATTTATGATCCAGTGATACATTATTTATTATTCAATAGTGACATGTTATTAATTCATTATATATATTTAAAATATGATTTATGATGCATATGATACTTTTGATATTAATGGAATGCCAATAAATTCACTGAAGACATTACTTGATTTACATTCAATTTCATACAGTCAAATCACCACTAATTCTCTCTGAGATATTCTCATGAGTATCATTTGAATGAGGAGGATGATTAGCTTTTAACTCTATGTTTATATTAGTTCAATCTATAAAGAATCTATGGTTGAATCTCATTAGTTAAACCTCCTAATAAAAACATTTTTCGCTATTTTAATTAAACTATTAGAAATTTTCATTACCAAATAAATTTTAATTATAATTCATAGTAAGTAAAAACTTATTTATTCTATTCTTGATAAATTAAAAATAATAATGATAACTATTATAATGATAATTACAACATCAAATCACAACGAAAAATAATCAAACGAGATGATGACAAGTTGACGATGACAATAAACAACAAGACGGACCAACAGGACAATAATCGTAACGCCAAACTTAGCATTTTTTTTAGAAAAAATTAACACCTCCGATTTAATTTTTATCCATTATCAGGTTTCACAGGTATTTGAGGTTTTTTCCTATCTTATTAATACAGGAAATTATAAAATATTCTAAACGACAGATTAAAATTTGGGGGAAAAAATATATTATAAATTTACAGATAAATTTAAAAAATTTATTTAAGATAAGAAGTGTATAAATTTATTAAAATTTTCGTTTAAAATTTTTTTTTGATTTTGGTTAATTTATCTATTATCACCTTTTTCTAATCTTTTCTGAATAAAAAATTAAGAAAATTAATAATGATAATAACAGTATATATATAGCGTTTTATATATAAATTATTTTAGATTTAACATTTTTACTTTCTATTAAAAACCATGACGGCTAGTTTTTTGTTCTCAATTTTAATATTAGCAAGTTTTAAGATTACAGGTAATTTACTTTTTCTATTTGAATATTTTTCTTTCTTTCTTTGCATAATATTTATATATAGGTAGCTATCACCCTTTTTTGAACATCGTATTTTGAATCAGTTTTATATAGTATAGACTTCTTCTTAGTGTTGTTAAATGGCTCGATTTGAGCCAATTTTTAAAAATGGAAATATTTTAACCAGGAAAAGACTTCCTATGACTCAAAATTTCTCTAATAGATGTATAAACCTAAGTCCGATCTATAAGCAAAATCTTCAGGCGTGTATAATATTTTTGAGGATAAAATATTGAGATGTAAATTTTTTAAAAAATCGACTCAAATCGAGACGGTAACAACATTACTTCTTCTATTCCTCCATTATTGTTTATCTATAAAATTCTTTACTATATTAATTACTCCCATCTCAACATCCTCATCTAGAGAGTAGTCTAATGTTTTATAAATGAATGTAGCATAAGTGTAGCCAGGATTTAGATGGGGGGGGGGGTACTATTAAATGGGGTTTTCCACATAAATTTTATTGAAGATCTTTAGGCCCATTTATTGTAGGCCTTTGGATATAGATTTATAAAAATTATTTAGGTTTTTCCTTACTATATTTTAAAAAGTTATTAATTTTACTAATTTTTCTTTCAAATTTTTTTTAATCGAGTTAATATACATTTTTTGGAAGATAGGGAGTAAGGGGGAATTTTTTATTATCTCAAATGATATTTACGAGAACACACAAATTTACAAAGGGAAAAATTCCCCCTTGCTCTCCCCCCTGCCCTATGAAATGTAATATTCAAAAAATATATTCGAATCATTTGCCACTTAAAAATGCCTAATTTATCAACTTTTTTCTCATGCAAAACATTTTAATCTAACACAATTCCAATCGATTTTCTGCTGATTGAAACCCTTTTTTTTTATTATTCTAAATTGTTTCTTACTAATATCTAAAATTAATCTCAACATCCTTATCCCGATAGTAACCTAATATTATATTAAATGAACTAATAAAGTATATTAACTCAAAAAAAATTAGAGTGATGGTTTTAGAAAGTATTTAAACGAAATAAGTTTCTGTTAGTATTTAGGTTTAAACCAAATAAAATTTTTACCACTTTATCATTTTATTAATTTATATTATTTAGAAAGTCATAATAAAAACCATCACGTCAAAGAACCTGACCACGATCATTTCGGCAAAGGTATAAATCCTTTGGCAGATTTTGACGAGGAAAGACATAACAAAATATTGGGTAAACCGAATAGATTTCATGACACAAGCCCGGAAGAGAATGATTTAAATAGCTTTTGGGATGAACTTGATGATTTAAATGACCTTGAAGAAGAAAGTCATGGGAACGATGATAAAGAGAGAAATGTTAATAAAATATTTATTTTGATTTATATATTTAGGAACGATATTGTATATTAATATGGACAAATTAGAAGAAATTATCTTCAATATGCTGACAAACGTTTTTATTTGTGCGATAAAAAGCTTATTTTTGAGACTTATATCACTTTAAAAAACAACATACATGTTAATAAATTTTTTATGATGGAAATTTTACTTATAGATTTGCTAATAATCCCTACAATGGATAAATTTTAAAAAATAAAGGATTTTTTAGGCTTATATTCTAATATCCATCTTAAACAGCTTAAATGGCTCCTATTCATAAATAATTTTCCATCACAGATAATTTATTCAATCGTATGTTCATTTTAAAAATATACCGCAAGTGATACATACCTCAAAAATCTAAATTACGCTTTTTATCGTATGAAGGAAAACTTTTATCAAGAAAGGGAAAGGGGGTTCCAATATTATTGAGTTATTATTATAAAATTTAAAAGGGTTAATTATTCTAAAACAAAATGCCTTTTATATGAATTTTAGGCAAGATTTAGTAAAAGCAGGAAAGGCATCAAATGTACATATAATATCCAATATATTTGCGGTAACAGAGGGAAACGATTTAGGGGCCTTCCTGGATGCCGGTAATATTAAAAACTTTCTGAATATTTTCGAAACTATTTAATATATATCTAATATCTAGAAAATTCGTAGATTGTGACAATCGTGATAAACGAGTTTTCAAATGCGGACTTGGCAAAGTCTTTCACCAGGCATTTCAGTCATGCAGAAAATTTAATCGTAAGTTCAAATGTCCTTGTTACATATATAGATTAACTACAACTCTTAAAATGAACAATTTAACTACACCATCCATCATTACTACTACCATACAAACTACACCATCCATCATTAATACCACCATACAAACTACACCATCCATTACTACCACCATACAAACTACACCATCCATTACTACCACCATACAAACTACACCATCCATTACTACCATTCAGACATCACCATCCAATAGTACTATATTACAAACTAATTCAACTGTTACTCAGCAAAATACTACTTCTGCCACTATACCATCTTCAAACGTGACAACTCAAATCTCTACCGGGAGCACTTCAATTCTGACTCTATCCACGAATGTAACGACACTTTCTAGTTCTCAAACAAACTTAACTACGGCGCCAATAAATATTACTAGACAAGCTAACGTGACAACTTCTATAATACCATAAAACCATAAAAAATTTATAATTAATTTTTTTTATTTATATAATTTAAATTTATAAATTTACATTAAATATATGGTATTTATAATTTTTTGTAATTTATATCACATGATAAGTATATCTAAATAAATTATTCAATATTTATTTTCTTCTTGAATTTTTAAATATTCTTTTAATTTTCAATTTTTTTAAAATAATATGTTTTTTTATAATTATTATTTCTAATATTTATAATATCGATATTGTAATTTTTAATTTAAACTTATCTATGTGATTAAAATAAAATATTTTGGCGTTAATCCTTAATTTAAACTTTTTATAATGAATGGCACTTGTAACGTTATAAACGACTACTGCAGTCAAAGACATGTAATACTTGACTGATCAGGAGACATTATTGAATACAAATCATCTGGTGATGCCATTTTGTGTTATATCGTTTTTTTAAATTGTTAAATCAGAACTGATTTTTAAAAATTTTAGTGTAAATTGTTTATTGAGACACCAAAATGGCACACCACAAGCGTTTGTATTGATACACATTAATTAAATTATATGACACTTGTTGTTAAGATGACTGAGATTCATAAATAATAGAATGACGGAAATTCGAAAGTTTTACATCTGCATTAGGTCTTGAGTCACTATGTTTCTGAGGTCGAAATTTACAATTCTGTAGGTGAGTAGTGATTAGACATTTTTTTTATAGTAAAAAAAATATTTTTTGAACAAAAATGAGAATACATGAATCGCTATTCACTTATCGTAAATTCAAATAGAGCATTAAGGCCATGCCCTAGGTCGATGTATTACCATACGAATCTGCTAGCTGCAACATTAATCAAGAAGATATATAAGTTAGAACCACTTCCATGATTTGAGTTATTATATATAAAAAAATCATTTTACCCTTAACAACTATAAGGCCATGGGGAAATTTTTTGCATATTTAACATCCCTCCACAAAAAATAAAAGTTAACAATTTATCAAACATATTAAGCAAAATATCGATAAAATATATCAAAAAAAATACAAAAAACTTCAAAGCTAGTATTTTTGAAACAAATTTAGCAAAATAACGTAATTATTTTTTTTTGTATTGATTAAAAATATTAAAAAGATTTTCAATATGCCTTAATATGCCTTAATATGCCTTTAAATCTATTTTGGTGCATAACATTGGTTTATCGAACACTAACCTCTATAAATGCAATCTTAGTCCTTGCAAGATTTTCCCAGAGCTGCTTAAATCTGATTTATTTTATACCTTTCTAGGTAAGCTAGAAAGATGGGATCAAGTTCCCATATATTTATAATCTGCAGAATCAATTATATAAGTTCAAAAACTCAAAGATAAATTAGCTCATAAAAAAGACAAAAAAACATTTGAGATGAACAAAAATCAATTCTTCTCGCTCGCCAATAGTGGGTTCCTTATAGTGATGTTAAAAGTTACTTTTGAAACATAACTAGTTACAGTTACTAGTTACATTGGCAAAAACATAACTAGTTACAGTTACTAGTTACATTTTTACAAAAGTAACTAGTTATTAGTTACAGTTATTTTCAAAAGTAACTAGTTACTTACTTTATACATCATTCATAGCGCATTATTTATTTATTGAATGCATTTATTTAATATAAAAAAAATTAGGATAAACAAAGTATAATCAGTTATTTAAAATAATATACAATTTATTTATATAAAAAAATATCGCAAAATTGAATATTTACATCGAATATAAAAATATATATTTGCAATGAAAAAAAAAACATATTTTTCATAAAAATTAGAATCTAATAAATGTTTATTTGCTTTTAACAACAAATTAATTTCAAGGTTATTATCTAGGAGACGTGCTCGTTTATCTCCAAAAATGAGCTTACCTAGACTGAACAAGCGCTCTACGGGAGCACTTGATGTTAGAACAACATTATATTTAATAAAGAGTAATTTTAACTTTGGAAAATCGTTATATAAAGAAAAAGTGTTGTTACTTGTTAGATATGATAGAATTTTCTATAAGTTCATTATCCAGAATATTTTGGCACTTAAGGTCAAAAAATCCAACTACATCAAGTGATGTTGTAATCATTTTTTTAAATTTGAGTAATGTGCTTATGCTTTTGTTAGACTTGGTTCTTGTAAGTAATGATTAATAATTTAATATTAAATTCTAAAATAATCTATCTTTGTTTTTCCTTATACTAAATTAAAATTTATTTTTATTACGTATGATATGAAGTTCCAATGCTTGTTACTTGACGGGAAAAAATATATTGTGCTACATTTGTTACTTAAATTTGCTTACAAAATTATGAAGCCCAGCAGCAATGTAACAATTTAAGAAAATAAAATCAATTTGAACGGGAAATTATAACAATCAGACATTTTCACAAAATTTTAAATTAATAAATTTAATTTAAAAAATAAATTTAATTTAAAATTAATTTATCACAACATATTAAAAATAAAATTAATTATTTAAATATATCTTTAAAAGTAACTAGTTACTTTGTTACTTTTGGTAGTTACATTTCAAAAATTATAACTAGTTACAGTTATTTTTTAGCCAACAGGTAACTAGTTACGTAACTAGTTACCTTAACATCACTAGTTCCTTACCCTATAAATTTTTTTTTATAGGATATAATGGTAAATGAAATGCATGCTCGTAGAACACAGCCAAATTAAGTGCCTATATAAGATAGGAGTGAAGTTTTTCGGGTGAAGGGGAATGAAAATCACTCAGCTATTTATCAAGATTCTTTTTAAGAATCATATTTAATTTGTAAGCAATTGAGATTTAATATCAAATTTCAAGGGTGGAATAAATATAACATCAACATATTATGAGATCAATTTCTCTAAGGTATGTTCGAATTAGAGGGTGTATTCGAAAAAACTTTCAATAAAAAATAAGGGTTTACCCATTTGGAAACATGTTCAATTGTATTTGACCATTTTGGTGTAGCCATCAAAGATATAGGCAATATTCCTTATGACTCATTCTTCTAAGTGGCTTCTAACTAAACCACTCTTAGACACTTGGAGATCTCAAACTGTCACCTTTCATTATAATTACTCACCTCATAATATTTATAACGTAAGTTATTCAATATTTTCTTATTGAATATTTTATAACGTATATTCAATATTTTCTTATTGACTGCTGTACTTCCAATTTTTTGTCAATGAAAAATAGAAAAAAACAATATTTAGTTTTAATGGGATATTTAAAAAAATAAAATAAACTTATCTCTTAATTTGTTTATGTTAAAATTTAAAAATCAAAATCATTTGTTTTTTTATATTATTTTAATTTATTTTTACAAATCTACACTAAAAATAGCAAAAAAAAATTTCCGAATGCCTAGCTATTCTTTTTATTTCAAAAAATATTGGCCCTCCCAAATGAACAATCCCCCACACCCCACTCCGAGCTTGGAAGTTCTTGAAAACATGCCTAGCATAATTTAATATAAATATAATGTTTTGCACTTTTTTAAATATATTAAGATATATAAAATATTGGGTATCGTTTTTATTACTTAATCAAAATTATATAAAGTGAAGATGAATTTTTTTTTAAATCAAGGTTTGTATATAAAATTTTTGAAGAATAGAAAGATAACAAATAAAACCTAAAAATAATTAAAATTTTATGAACAAATTTTTTAAATAAAAAACGTGAAAATTAAAAGTAGTTAAAGAATTATAAATATGATAAGAATATCGAATTGAAGAAAATGCCTAAAATAAATTTTTTTTAAAAATGGCGATGGTATAAAATTACGTGTACATGATCTATAAAGCTTTTGCCTCTATCGCTGAAGATTCAACAGGGTGGCGCATAGGTATTTCTCATCTCCATCTAAATGGCAGGGTTGGGCAGTATCGCGGATATTTGTATCTAAGATACAAGTATCTTTTTTTAAATTTTGGAAAGTATCTTATATCCAGTATCTAAGATACATATTATTTTAAAGTATTTGTATCTTAACCAACTTTGTATTCAAAAAGATACAGAAACTTTAAAAAAAATTTATATTAGTTAATTTAAATAGTATTAAAATTTAAAATGATATTGTTTTAAAATTTATATGAAAAATTTAATCAGAATTTAGATATTTTAAGAAAATTTATGAGCAATTCGCTAACAATTAGAACTACCATATTTTATTTGAATCGATTTATATCTTTCTATTTTAAAATAATGGAAGAAGAAAATAGAATAATATGCTTATATTCATCTTCAGATGATTCTCCAACCGAAAAATATAACTATAAATTTAAATTAAGTATTTTAAATGGGAAATTTTTTCAAGTACTTGAACATGATCATAATAAAATTACTGCAGAATTTAAAGAATGCCACAAATCTATAAGTGGTTTTGCGGACTCGTCATTAAATTTTGTCAAGCATCTAAAAATATAATATATAATTATATAATAAATCACATTTATAATCATATTCATTATCATTTCATATTCCCACATTCGTTGTCTGTGCCATACGATAAGTCTTATTGCCACAACAGATGTCGAGAAAGCTATTAAGGATTCTCCTAACATTTCTAAAATTCATCATCCCGCAATAGCCAAATGTACTAAGCTATGGAATGCTAGTAATATGCCTACAACTGCAGAACTTATCAAAGCAGTTTAAAAAAAACAATTAGTTACACCTTGCTGCACAAGATGAAATAGTATGTTTGATAGTCTTAGTAGTTTATTAAAATTTAAAGGCGAACTTCCTAAATTATGTCAAAAATTAGAATTTCCATTAAGAGATATTGAAATTCAATATTTAGAAGAATATTGCGATATAATGTCCCTATTGGCTATAACGATTGACTAAATACAAAGTGAAATCAACTGCTATTATGGAGAATCAGTTCCAATATTAAATGCCGTTAAAAAAAATTACAAATTTAATTCAAACTTACATTTTTGCAAACCATTAGCTATTACCGTAGAAAATTCTTTAAATAAAAAATTTAAAGATTTTGATAATAACTTTAAAAGCGCATTTTTGGCAACTATTTCTCATCCCTATTTTAAAAATAGTTGGATTGATGGTGAAAAAGAAAAAAAATACCTTCAGGATGTTAATACATGAAGCTTTAATTATTTTAAAAATAATATTGAAATTAATACGTCAACAAAATCTTCAATTGATGAAGATGATGATTACTTTTGTTTTAAAAAGTAGATATTGAATTACAGGTCCTAAATTATATGAAAGATGACAGATGAAGTATAAATATGTTAAATAGTTATAAATATATAAAAGAAATATTT